CTCTCAGCCCAGGCCCGAGCAGCAGCTCTGCCACCAGAATGTCCCTCAGGCACTCACAGGCAAATCCAAAACCGGACTCTCCATCCTCCTTCGAACCTGCTCCGCTCCTATTTCCATCGCTTGCCCAACAGCAGTCCCCCCCCTACTCCAAATTTCTACTCCGGCTCAGCCCAGGCCCGAGCAGCAGCTCTGCCACCAGAATGTCCCTCAGGCACTCACAGGCAAATCCAAAACCGGACTCTCCATCCTCCTTCGAACCTGCTCCGCTCCTATTTCCATCGCTTGCCGAACAGCACTGTCCCCAACTCCCCACCCCCGATGCCAAACTTTCTCCTGCCTCCATCCTCTCCATCCCTACCAACGCTTATCATCTCACGCCTGGACTGTGGCATCATCATCCACCCGGTCTCCCTGCCTCCCCCTCCCCCACTCTCATCTATCCCCCACACCACCCTAGTGGGACCCTTCACAAAGCAGAGTGGACAAGGACAATGTTCTTTGAAAGCCTTCAATGACGCCAGCTGAAGTGTTAGGTCCGTGTACGCCAGTCAAGGCCACGTACTTTCTCCTGATCTTCTACACTTACTCCCTAAGCAGACCAGACACCTGCACCATAGGCTTCATGCCAATAAACTATTTACTGCTTTCTGACTCAGCCATTATCATTTATGTCTCTGTGACTTTGCACATATTATTTCCTCCTCCACAGAATGCCATTTCGTCACCTTGTCAGCCGGGTATACACCTACTCTTCACGTCTCAGCTCAAACAACATCTCCCTGTAAACACTTCCCTGAAACCTTAAGGAACAGATTCTCACTCATGCCTTGCTAGTCCCCTAGCCCTTGGTGCACCTGCTGTGACAGCTCATCACACAGTGTCGTCACCGTTCACAGGCACTTGCCACTGCTCTCCTGTGACTGCAATAACTTGCTACTCATCTTCTTGTCTCTCTAGTTCTCCTGCATCATCAACCCATCATCCAGCCTCCCTACCCGGCTTCAAAACTTCCAGTGGTTCCCTACGACCTACAGAACCGAGTACAAAGTCAGTAACATGGCACGTGTAGGGTCCTTCGGTAGCGAGCCAGTTTTCCAGCCCCGTCTCTACTAAACCCGTGTGCCTATATATTTAATATCCTGGATTGCAGCTGCCATATTGAACTACTTTTACTCCCTGTTCTTTTGTGCTTTCAAGGCTTTTTATATGCTATCTTCCTCTGCTAGAATGCCCTTACCCTAGATTTCCTCTTTCAATAAATTCTGTATATTGTATGTAACCCAGGTCTAATTATTTTCTCCCTTTTCTGCCTCCTATTGCTGCCAGGTAGAATGAACTGTTCTCTCTTCTGAGTATATATTTTATTTTATTTATATCATTAAATTAAGCCTTATCATTATGCCATGTTTTCACGTTTCTACCACCTATTGCAAAGCCTGACCCATGGCAGGTGAGTTATGAAATTTCGTAGTGCCTTGATTGATGTATCCAGTTCAATTCAACAAACACTTACGAGCATCTATTATAGGCAAAATCCTCCACTAGGCACTTTGGAAAAATAAATTAGACATGCCCATCCCTAAGAAGCTTACAGTCTAGTTAATAGCAATAAACAGTTGATGTACTGGGAGAGCTTGGTATTTAAAAGAAGCAGTTTTATGCTGCAAAGAAACTCATTCTAATTCATTACTATGGACTTTCTTAGACAGGCTTTTATTAAAGCGGAACACACACCCTGCTTTGGTGTGGTCTAGCCTGGGTAAGCCTAAGTTGACTATTTGTTGTATATAAATATGTAACGAGGATCAGAGGGTCCATATGCTCACCTCGGGGATGCTGGGGTATCAGACATTAAGCGGCCCAGAGCCCCACTGATCTCTGAAGGAAAATGGTGGGAAGAAGTTTTGTACCGATAGCAGCAAAGCCACGGAAATTGGAATCGAGGAATTAAATTCCCAGCGTTCGGGAAGAATGCCCTCGGTGTGGGAAAAACCCAAGCGGAGGTCAGAGAGGCCCACAATGTAGATGACTTTTGCGGGGCACTGGCTGATTATTGGTTGAGGAGAATGCCACTGAGCATAACACCACGTGATGTCACTCAATATCCTGCATCGTATCTCAAGGGGCCCCTGTCCAAAACTCTTTAAGATGCAGTGCTGTAGAACCCTGAGGCTGCCCTGTGGAGAATCCCAACAGCAACAACAATAGGGCTTTCATAGTGCTTTGCCGGTCACCAGAAAGCCCACTTTAACACAATTTAATCCTGACGGTAGCCCCGCGTGTGAGGTATCGCTAACCCGTTTAATACGCGAGGAAACTGAGGCTCAGAGAACTCGTTATCCTTATCCAGCACCACACAGCACGCAAATGGTGAAGCTGATGGGCGCTTGAGCCTCCGTGAGCAATGACGGGGATACCAGCAAGTCACAGGAGGTAGCAGCCACCACTGCGATCGCCACACCTGAACATCAGGCTGCAGCGGCACAGACGGTGGTGGGTGGCTGCAGGGAAAGACAACTCTGCCAGAGCTGAGGAGCATGAACGAACCGACCTGAAGCCCGCCAGGGGAAAGGAGGGGACTTGGAGGCTTGGGCCCTGGTGATTCTGTGAGGAGGGGATTGAAGGTCAAATGCCATACACACACCTCTCGGGCCCTAGATTGTTCCTTGGTTACCCCGCCCCCAGTCCCTGCCTCGCACCATCCCAAGGCCGGTGCGGCCAGGTAGGCAAGGGTTCACATCCTCCCCACTTTTTCACACACGACACGCTTTATCGACTTTATTTCCTGTGTCTAAAGAGCAAAATATGATTCCCGAGGCTCCCAGAAGGCATTGAGAGTCTTCTGACCAAGAAATAGCCTTTCAAACAACTTGGACATCTGTTTGAGAGCGCCATTATCCGGGAGAGATGATTCTCCGAAATGTCCCACTCTCGGCTCTTCTTTCTTCCTCAGGAGCTGACCATGCCAATTGCGGTTCAAGAATCCTCCCCGCGGAAACTGGCTTTGGTCCACTGAGCCCTCATCCTGACCCGGCTCCTCTGCAGCTCCCTGCCTTCTCCTCCCCAGAGCCCCATTCACCCCACTTTGCCCCCTTGCACCCTTCCTACCTCTACTGCGCCTCCGGCTCCGTGAGGGGTCAGTGTAGAAGGTCAGCTGGGGGTCGTTTTCTGCCTCTGGGCCAGAATCCCCTTCAGGGTTCAGGAAGGCAGAACCGGCTGTAATGAGCAAGAAGGCGGCAAAGACAACATCTTCAGTCTTGTCTTCATGACACCAGCTCATCGGGGCAAGTTCAAGGGAAAAATCAATCAAAATGAAAGCAGTCTGGCTGACGATCTGGGAGGAGTAGCCACGGGATTGGAGCTTCCTGATACACAGATTTACTGGAGAAGCTCCCCTTTATATGACAGCAATCACTAGAGCCCAACCTCCCCCCAGCCCATGTGCTGCTGAGGAGCCATGCCTGACAGCCACCTGTCAGAGAGGACCTTCCTGGACGGTGACTGGAAAAGGAAGAGAGAGAAACTCTCCTCATCACGGGTCACAATTCTGGTTGATGTGAAACCGGAATTATGTCTTACAGGGCGTGTGTCTCTATGTCTTAATGTCTGTAAGATATTGATTTGTCTGGTTCTATAATTAACATATATTCAACGTGAAAAAGAGAGAACATTTTAAAAAGTACACAAAAATGTATAAACGGAACAACGCCGATGTCCTCTAAATCCTTCAAATCAGAGAAAAAACCGTTCACATTTGCTGTATATACACTCTCTGCCTTTTTCTGATACAAAAATGGATAAACGTTTTTTAATCTCCCCCTTAAAAATGGCATTCGGCTGCATCTTCTATTTTCTAATCTCGTTTTTTTTTTCCCATTTAATAAATGGGCAGGCAACTTTCCACATTAACCCTTTCCCCATTTAGGAAAAAAAAAACGTGCAGCTCTCCAGCAGCGTTCGGTTAGCATCTCGCGTAGGAACACGACGTTTTCTAGGATTTGACATTTTCAGTCACTGAACTACTAAAAACAGAATGCTATAAATGGAATGATGTCATTCGTTTCCAAAGACTATTGAAATCCTAGAGCGATGCAGACGTAGTATCGAAAGCACGATATCTCACGGCACATGTGGGGGGTCAGGTTAGGTCTGTCATCTGCGAGTTACCTTGTGGTAAACACCGCAGCCACCAGTACAGCCAGCGAGTATTGTCAAGGCAAACGGGAAAAAGGTTAACGAATCCAGATCTGCATTATCATAAGGGGCCGCATGGCAAACCGCCGGATAGTAGACAGACGTGCAGGTAGTTAACCAATTTCCTATTGATGGACATTGAAGCTATTTCCAATTTTTCTCTCTTTTAAACAACACGACGAACGGCCTTTTAAACACCTCTTTGCACATTCGTCCAATCACTTCCTAAAGATAAATTCTTGTCGATGAAATTACCTGGTCACAAGGTTTCTATATTGAAGGGTTTTTTTTTGGGTAAATAACACTCAAAGGCCTTCGCCTGGTCACAAGGTTTCTATATTGAAGGGTTTTTTTGGGGGTAAATAACACTCAAAGGCCTCCAGAAAGATTGTGCCAAAACACACCCCCTCCGGCCACGCATGAGACTGGGGGTCGCGGCTGGTGAGGGCCCCGCCCCTGCCAATATTAGAGAATCCTCCCACAAGCCCTCACGCCAGACGCGGGCACCTCTTGCTTTGTTGTTGATCCGCTTCCTCTGGCTGCTGGAGGTGTGAGAGAGCAGGGTGGCCTGCTGGTGGTTGGCGTCCACGGGGCTGGTGGCGATGATGTTATCTTTGTACTTGTTCATCAGCGACAGCTTGGCATTGTCACTCCCTGTGTAGGAAAAAGTCAAGGCAAAACTTTTGAGAGAAAAGGTCAAATGAAAGTGAGAGCGAGGACATCTGCACAAACCAAGCGAATGGAGTTTCACAGCGTTAACATAAGGAACCTTTAAAAAAGTGAGAGGTTGGCAGAGACCGAAATACTTGGGTTTCTGGGGTACCACAAAGTTATGAGCGATTACACTTGAAAATCCAATTCAACTAATGCTGTACGGACAGGGTCACCCCATGTGGCCCTTCGGCTAGATGCAGACTGAAGAGTTCTTTCTTTTGGCCAGCACGGAGTTTTACAGGAATTTGAACTGGAGAGCATTCAGGCGGAACGTGCCCTTTCCCTTTCACCTCGTCTGCACCTGTCCCTGTCACCTGACATCCAGCTCGTTCACGTTTGTGCTATCTGCCCGCTCCCTGCACGCATTCGAGTTCGTAACCCCTGAGTATCACGTGGCTACTTGGTGGGCTTAGCACGGCACTATGCCCGGAGCTACGGGAATATGAGGTAGGGATGCCATGCGCCCTATTCTCAAGGAGTTCCCAGATGGCAATCTTAGTAGGAAGTGGCCGTTCACACAGACTCTCTTCTAGATGACGGGCCGCATGGAGGCCTCTGTGATATTCTTTCCCTCTTTTCAAGCCCTACTCGAAGGCCATAGTACGTTCCGTATCCAAATGTCTTCTTCAAAGATAATTGAGCAGTTCTTTGAAGGACCGTTGCCTTGGGTTTTTATCTATGGGGAGTTGATTATTTATAGAAGTGTGTGTGTGTGTGTGTGTGTGTGTGTGTGTGTGTGTGAGAGAGAGAGACAGAGATAGAGACAGAGACAGAGACAGAGACAGAGAGACAGAGACAGAGAGAGACATGTGTGTGTGTGTGGAAAGAGAGAGAGAGAGAGAGGAAGAGAGGGGGAGAGAGAAAGGGAGGAAGAGAAAGGCGAGTGACCGTTAGAGAAAAGCACACTTGTTTCCTCTGAAGTGTCTGAGACCGGACAGCATAATCGCCTTCCTTCATTTTCACTGAGAAAGTGCGTCCCTTGCAAAGACCACGGAGGCACAAGCAAGACAGCACGGCTCGGCGACCCCTCTGCCCCGCCCGGGCCAAAGTCTCCAGAGTCGTAGGACAGAATGGGTCCCTCCACCCCTTCCACGACGGGAAAATTAAATTAGGCAAAATTAAATTAAATTAAACAAGCATGCCAGATTCAAAACCGTCACACATGCATGTCGATCCTTCCCGCTACCTTATTTCCCTGAGGATGCCTCACTGTATACAGAAAGGGGCTCGAACTCACATTTGTGTTGGATGCGAAACTACCTGCTTCCAATGCAAAGTGCAAGTGAAGAGGGACCAACTGCTCTGCTTACTCCGCTTGTTCACTCATTTCCTGTGCTAGAAAACAGCTCCCACCCTCTCACGGGAAAAGCTCATGCTTCTTGCCCACCTGGGGAAGGACACTGGCACATCCCGCTCTGCGTGACGGCCGGCCACCAAGTTAGAAAACAGCCGTTCCCTTCCCCGCCCCGCTCGCCAAGGACCTAACAGCCCACCTGGGGTGAGGTCCATCCCTGCCTTCTCGTTGCAGCCCTGCAGGGAGTCGAGGGTGCGAGTGACCTGGCTGGCAAAGTCCTCCCCTCCGTTCATGCACTCCCGCTGCAGGTGGTGACGCAGGTCGGTGATGTCGTACTCGTAGCCGTCCAGGATGGGCGTCTCCCGGATGCTCAGGGTGCCGCTGGCGTTGTGGCCCTGCACGCGGGCGTTGCGCAGGCTCTCCCGGCCGTGCCCACCGATCAGCACGGAAGGGATGTAGTGAATCTCGTTGGCCGCCTCGGCGCTGGCGCTCTTCTGGGGCTGCGGGACCCGGCGGCGTTTGCACCACCGTCGGCGTGTGTACAGGATCATCACCAGGCACAGGATGGACAGCAGCAGGGCGATCATGCCACCCTGGGAAGAGAGGACAGCGGGGGGAGGCAGGGGTGGGGGTGGGGCGCTCGGCCCACAGAGAGGCATCGGCCCTCCGCTGCCACCACCCATCACTCGCTCGCTCGCTCGTTCAGGTGACGGGCGCTACTCAGCAAAGGGACAGTCTACTGGGGTCTGCGTTTAAGATGAAAGGAAAACGGAACTGAGATGACCAGTGCGTCATTTCGAGTGACCCACAATTGCTTCTGGCTCAGCAAACGGTTTGAAAAAGCAAGTCGTTATGGCTGCTTGTGTATCATTTCAAGCGCAGAAATAAAGGAGAGGGTTAGCTTAAGGCAAATCCGCTCCGTGTAAAGCTACTTTCGGCCAATGTTTAGCAGCAGATGGCATCTGGTTTCTTCCTCTCTCACATCTCAAAATCAAGTATGTATAGATTCTAACTCTGGCTCCGCCAATGATCAGCGAGTCCTCTAAATCAGACATCTCTGGCTCCTCATCTGTACGATGGAGAAGATTCCACACACCCACGCAGGGTGGTGTCAGGACTAAGTCAAGTAACTACGTAAAATGCCAAATAGAATGTAGCGCATGGCATCGAGGCTGTCCTCGGCCTCCGCTTAAACATCTCCACCACTGTGACCGCCCCAGCAGGGGAAAACCCTGGACCAATCCACAGAGAAGTCTACACCCATCAGAATTTATACCCAGGTGTGCAGAGAAATCTCGCCACTTGCCATGACTTTTGGGCCACTACTGCCTTGGAGACAGCTTTCTCCCACTCCCGCAGTCCTAAGTGATGCTCCCGTCCCTGCCATGTTTGAGGGAAGAGAGGGAGACACATGTCCTGGACTCAGGCTGGCAGGGACTTTTCTTCTGA